AAACAAAGATTTTTTAAATTTCTCTTTTATTTTTTTTTCACAATCAACTTTTGTGGTCAGCATTAAAAAATAACAATAGCCATTACCATTTAAGAAATTATAAAAATTTAAAAAAAAAAATTTAAAAACTTTCTAAAAAAAAATAAAATCGGAAATTTAAAAATTAACCGGATCTCAAAACAAATATTTTTTAAATTTTCCCTTGTTTCCCAATCAACTTTTGTGGTCAGCATTAAAAATAGCAAGCAATTTTTATTATTTTTTTTTACCGGAAAGCAGGACAAAAAACACATCTACAACATTGATAATTATAATAATCACACATGCATATGTCAAATTGACATTGACATCATTTATGTGAGTGTGTGTGTGAATGTCGTTTGGTCTAGGGACTTTTACGTGAGAAAAAAAAAAAACAACCAATGAATTTACAAAAAAAAAATCCACATTCAAATCCAAATAGAATCCTGCAAAAGGATAAAAAAAATGAATGTGATAATTTAAAATCAAAAAAATATAAACGCATAATTTACACTGAGGTGGGTCGAATAAACAAATAATTTTAGAAAAATTTTTGTTTCCTTGGCTACTTGAAAAAAGCCACGATAATCCTAAAAAATAAAAACCACAATTTTTGTTCACGAACTCATTTAAAAACAAGTAAAAAAACATTAAGTTCGGCCGGGCCGAAATGGGTAGTGGAAATATTTTTTCTTGGTCGGAACAAACATCATAGTTGTAAAAAAGTTCCAGGATTTCTTGACCAAAAGTGAGTATTATTTAAAAATTATTTTTAACAAGGTATGTCAAAAAATCCATGATTTTTGATTAGGATATCTTTGATAAACATCTCTTTAAAAATTTCAACCAATCAACCAACCACAATCAAGCCAAAGTCATTGGCAAAATATTTATCCACTATTTTTTGGTCAGAAGGACCTCGTTAAAATTTCCCTTAAAAATCTACAATTTTTTGTCAAGAACTCCTTGATTGAAGTATTTTTTTAAAACACTATCTGTGAAAATTTAAAATTCGTTTTCAAAAAGTTTTTGGAAAAAAATTAAATCAAATATTTTGATCCAAAAACTTGAAAAATTAACAATTTTTTAGCAAGAGGTACTTCATAAAATTTTCCTTAAAAAGTGACGATTCTCCTTCACAACATTTTCTTTAAAAATCCACGATGTTTGGTCCAAAGTTCCTCGATAAAATGTTCTTTAAATAACGAATTATTTTTGGTCAATAGGTCCTTGATTTGTATTTTTAAATCCAGAAACTTTATAATTTTTTCTTAAAAAAATCGACGATTAACGCATAGGAAGTCTTTGAAAAATATTTAAAAAAAAAAAAAATATAATATAATGGGGTCTGAAGGTACTTGATAAAATGTACTTGAAAAATCAACGATCGGATTGACAATATATACCTTTGAACAGTAAATAGTACAAAGTGCCAGTTCCAGGCTATGTCGACTACTTCCATCACATTTTATAATAATTTTTGGAGAAAATGATGAAATGCGCATGAGGTACCCGAAGAAGAGTTTTGATATTACCCATTTTCCGAACTCAATCTAAGTAAAATAGTATCAGTCGGTTTTGTCTACTGATGTATACCCCCAGTCTTGAGTTATGATTATTCAAACTGTTAACTCTTTATGGGGGCCAATATTGACCAATTCGTATCTGACCTAAGACTGGAACAAATATTACAACGTGCCACATTTGGACTATATCGACTACTTCCTGTACTTGATATGAGATATCTGCAAATTTTTGGAAATATGCGTGAGGTAACAGATATAGCAGACCGAAGTATTCCATTTTCATACTTCATTATTAGAGTACGTATAAAAATATAGGTATATGCAAAATTTGAAGGAAATCGAACATTTATTTTCAATTTTATAGGGAATCATAACTTCCGATAAATTCAGTATTCATATCTGATTTCTGGTTAAGAGAAATAACCAGGGAAATGGCACTTGTGGCTGAAGTACCAGGCAGATATAAATCATCTTCACACCAGATCTTGTGCTAGCAAAAATTTATGTGGGAAATTTGGGAAGATGGAGGATAGATTTGGATGCTTTTTCGCTTTGTTTTTCAAAATCTTGAATACTATGTGGGGCGATCTCTACCATTTTGAATGTAATCGGACGTTATTTTCGCGTTTTATGAACTTCATGGAAACTTAAAATTTTGAGCCTTTGTTGACCCAGTCCTTGGATTAATAAAAATATTGTGATTCAAAATGTTGACCCTTTTTGGGGAGGTACCAGAAGGAGTAAACCGATGTGTGTAATTTGAAGAGAACCGAATACTTGTTTCGGATTTTATGATAGTTTTGTTTATTCAAAATAGACCCTTTGTAGGGCAGGTACCAGAAGAAATGGTCTGATCTCTACTATCTTTATAACAGATCTTAAGTTGATGAAAATATTGAGATGTGCCAAGTCTGAATGGAATCGGATGTTAATTTCGCGTTTTATAAGTTTCATGGATCTTCAAAATGTTTACCCTTTGTGGGGAAGGTACCAGAAGGTACCATCTTCACATCAGATCTTGGGTTAATTAATAGTTACATCATATTTTATAAAAGTTACAGTTATTCCAAATTTTGACCTTTGTGGGGGAGGTACTTGATAGAATGGATCGATATTTAGCATTTTCGCACCTGTCCTGGCACTGATGCAAATTATAGGATCTATAAAGTTGAAGCACAATCGGGTTATCCTTGCTCTTTCCGTGCAGTAAAATATTTTTTGAAGAGTTCGACCTGTTGTGGGGGAGTACTAGAAGGTGTGGGTCGGTATTGCCCATCGAACTCGATCTAAATTTTGATAATAATATTACGATGTATCAAATTTGAACCATATCGGATGCTCCCAGACAGACAGGCGGACACACGGACTAAGGGTATAATTATTTTAGAAGCCCTTGAAAAATATTTCTTAAAAAATTCAAGATTTTTAGTTAGGATGTCCTACATAAAATTTTCTCTTAAAGATTTATTTTTCAGGATGTCCGTGATTAAATATCCATTAAAAGTCCTCTGGTTATGGTCAGAAGGTCCTTGATATAATTTTCTTTACAAAATCCTCAATTTATGGGGAGGAGATCCTTGTTATAATTTTCATTAAAATCGAAGATATTTGCTCAGAAGGACTTCCTTTCAGGTTTTAAATGCTCTTTCGGAGGTTTTGATAAAATTTTATTTAGAAATCTATTCTTGGTCAAGATGTCCTTGAAAAATACATTTTTTGAAGAAATACCCTGTCTCTTCGTCCTCGTTGAAATTAGCTTTAAATAATTTATGCTTTTTGGTCAGGAGGTCATTGATAAAATGTTCTTTAAAATATTTTCACTAATTGCTCTTAATAAAATTTTCTTAAAGAAATTATTATTAGAACAGTGTTGGCTTGTTTGTTCGGGATACCATCGAATTTTGTTGCTGCAATATGGTCAGGCTTAATCCCTTTATTGTTGTTTTTATAAAAACAACGTTTGTTTATTAGTGGAGAGCGATGGTAATGTTTACCAGGGGGTAAGACAGGGAATACATAGGTTTCGGAAAGAGCCACCAATCCTCATCAGTTCCCTTGTGTTTTGTCTGGGATATGATAACTCTTATATAACTGGGATATAATCTCGTCGCTTGGGTAAAAACATTTTTTTGTCACAGGAGTTATTTTTAAAATAACTTCTGGGGAGAATATCCCAGACAAAAACAAAGGAACTGATGTGATTGGATCTACTAATTTTTGTCAAGAAGTTTTTGATCTACAATTTATGATCAGGATTATTTTTTTAAATAATGTCTTATTTAAAAATCCACTATTTTGAGTCAGAAGGCCTTTGATAAAATTCACGATTCTTGACAGAAAAAAATTTGACCAAAAATTGTGAAAAGACTACAATATTTGCCCTGGCAGACTTTTTAAAAAGAGGAAAAAAGAAAACTTTTTAAAAATTAACAAGTTAAAAAGCGGTATGTTCGGCCGGGCCCAACTTCGAATACCCTCCACCATGTGGAACGAATTTAGAATTTAGAAATTTTCAAAAAATAAAATCCTTAAAAAATTCTGTTAAAATTAAAAAAAAAAAACAATATTGCCGTTATAGTTGGGTCTATACGACGTGGACCTACATAGGTATTGCTTGTCATTACCATATTCAAATTCGAAACTTGAAATAAACGGTGAATAATGTAGCTAAAATTATCAAAATATCGTATATAGGGAGGTACCGTTATATCGGAGCTGTGCGAAGACCTGGACCAGCATTGACAATTTTCTGTCCATTACGAACGTCAAATACAACATCTCAAATAATTTCGGTGAGTATTGTACCTAAAATCGTCAAAATACCAAATATAGGGAGGTATATATGAGGCCTATACGAAGACCTGGACCTGCATAGACAATTTTCTGTCCCAGACTGTAGTTCCCATTACGAACTCTAAATAAGTAATTTGAAACAATTCCGGTAAATAATGACGATAAAATCATCAAAATACCCAATATCGGGAGGCATCGTTATATGTGGGCTATATGAAAACGTGGACCTACATGGCCCATTTACGAGCCTGCCTAAACTGCCTACTGGAAAAATAAACATGTACGCAATATTTTAGCCTTCTATCTCAATTCGTTCGAAAGATAGTGTGATTACAACAGACAGACAGACGGACAGAAAGACAGACAGACGGACATCGCTAAATCGACTTAGAATTTTACGTTGATCAAGAATATATATACTTTGTTGAGTCTGAAATGAGTATTTCGAGGAGTTACAAACGGAATGACAAAATTTATACACCCTCCATAGTATGGTGGAGGGTATAAAAAACCAAGATTCTTTGTCAAATAATCAAAATAAAATGTTTTGAAAGTTTGGACCATTTGTGTCGGACGCACTAGGAGATGTAAACCCATATACTCACTGCGGAAGTAATTTAGGTAAAAAACTCGGTTTTTATTCAAAGCAAAGCAACATATGGAAAGTCCATTTCCAATATCAAATCGAATCATTTCAATGCAATTACATAAATATACACATCTACATAAGTTAAACATATGTAAGTATTGCAGGCACAAATAGTCCGCACATTGCGACACACAATAAATAAATTTAATAAAATATTTAAATTAAAATAGAAAAATAATTGACAACAAAACTGTCAGGCCATCAACTAAACTCATCGGGCGGATGCGATGCAATGCAACGCAACAGCAACAGAAGCAACAGTCAGGCGGTTAGTCAGGCAGGCCAGCATGGCTGGCTGTCAGTCAGTCAATCCAACTTGCATACACCTAACTGCAATGACATATGGGAAAAGGGAGAGGAGACATCTAGGCATCTGCCTTTGGGGTAACACCTACGATACGGCGGTCTTCTCATCCACCTACTCGAGCATAGTCGGATACTTGGTGATCTTTGACACTCCCAACATCAATCAAAAAATCAAATTGAAAAAAAATATGTGAATATATTTTAAAAATAATATATTTCCATTCAGTGATGGAATGCAAACAAATTATAAAATTAAAAAACGAAACAAAAATAAAAAACGCAGAAGATTTCTAATGAAAATGTCGGAAAACGATTTTCAAAAAAAAAAAAAAACAACAACCAACGAAATATTCATTCAAGTTGTCAGTGTTACGGATGATTGACCATCGTTGGAATATTTTTCAGTCGCGTAAGTAAAATGACAACTAATTTCGTTGGAAAATTGACACATTCATTTTGAAAAACATTGTTGAGAATTGGAATATGTTTGTTTTCTAGCTGCAGGAATTCGAAGTGAAAATTGGATGGGTGTATATTCATATGGTATAGGAAGTGGACAGATGATATGGAATGATTTGAAGGAATGTCATTTGATTTTGAATTAATTCAAATTCCAAAGGAAAAAATCGTTGGAAGGAAAACATTTAATGACGTATTGTTTAAATTTATTTCCATTTTCATATTACCTCTGCGTCTGTGGTCTATTTGTCACCGAATTCGCTGGATAAAATTAGAAGGATAAAAATATGCATAACAAATTTTGGGATTCTCCACAAGTCTAATATTTGTTTCCAGATTTGGACAAGTACAAGTAAGTATAGAGATTTTATTCAAAGGAGGAACGCTGTGTACCACAAAATCTATATCCCGTTTTCTCATAGTTCTCCATGATTAAGGCAATAACTTTTTTGGACCAGGGACTTCGTCTAGGTTTTATCAGCCATGATGATTCGATTTTTATGGAAACGAGATTTAAATAGATGTTAAAATAAGCTTCTCCCTCCCTCTATTTTTTAATACCCTCAGCAATATGGCTACTATGTCTATCTTTGGACAAAATCCGTTTCAGGACATTTGGAGTGGATTTAGCGATGTCTGTCTGGACGATAACTCTCGATGGTAGTATCCGACTTGATCCAACTTGGTACATCTTAATATTATTGCCAAACTTAGACCGAGTTGGGAGGTGGGCAATATTGGTCCACTCCTTCTGGTACCTGCATATGGTATGTATTTATTTGATACGGCCAAAACGTGCCTGATTGAGAAAGCATGTTTACACCAAATTCGTTGAACGACATTTGGAGTCGACCTAGGGGTGTCGGTCCGACAGTCTGCCTGGCTGGCTGGTGCGCACGTAATATTATCAAACTCAGATCGAGTTTGGAGATGGGCGATATTGGTCCACTCCTTCTGGTACCTCCCGCACAAAAGGTAGACATTTTCAAAAAAAAAAAAATAAATAATATATATATATATATATATATATATATATATATATATATATATATATATATATGCACAGAGCTACGTCAGGTGCGAAAATGGAAAATATCGGTCTACTTCTATAAAATGTGAAGTAATAATCCGATTGTCTTCAAATTACACAACTTTATATTTTTATTTATCCATGGTCTATGTTCTGGTGTGAAGATGGAATATATCAGTCCACTCTTACAGGTAGCTCCCCCACAACGTGTAGAAATTTTGAATATTCATGAATCTTATAAAACACGAAATTAACAACCGATTCCATTCAGACTTGGCACATCTCAATATTTTCGTCAAAACAAGATTTGTTATAAAGATGTTATAGATAGGATCATTCTTTCTGGTAAATTCTCCACAAAGGGTCAACATTTTGAATAAACAAAACGATCCCAAATAAGCACCCGGTTCTCTTCATATATTTTACATATTCCATCATTTCTTCTGACGCAAAATGTGCTGGGAAGATGGTATATACCGTTCCACTTCTTCTGGTACCTCCCCACAAAGCTACAAAATTATGAATAACCATGAATCTCATAAAATTCCATTTGCACATGAAACATCTCAAAATTTTCATCAACCCAACATCTGCTATAAACATGGTAGAAATCGGACCAAACCTTCTGTTACCATCCCCACAAAGGGTCAAAGTTTTGAATAACCAAAATGGTCATGAAATCCAAAATAAGCATACGGTTCTCTTCATATTTCACACATAACGTTATTTCTACTAACACAAGACCTGCTATGAAGATGTAATATATCGGTCCACTCCTTCTGGTACCTCCCCCACAAAAGGTAAACATTTTGAGCATCCATGGAGCTCATAAAACACGATACTAACATCTGATTCCATTCAGATTTGGCACATCTCAATAGTTCTATCAGCGCAAGATCTGTTATAAAGATGGTAGAGATCGGACCATTTGTTCTGGTACCTCCACCACATAGGTTTCAAGATTTTGAAAAACGAAACGCTCAAAGAAAGCGAAATAAGCATCCAGTTCTCATCAGATTTCACATATAGAAACACAAGATCTGTTGTGAAGATGATATATATCTGCGAAACCCTTCTGGCACCTCACCCACAAAGCGTCACAATTTTTAATACTTATATCTGTCATGAGTTGCAAAACAAATCAATGATTCTTTACAATTTTCTATAGCTAAATATTTCGCATAAAATTGCATATGAATGTTCGATTTTCTTGTAATTTTGCCCACATCAATATTTTTATTTATATTAGACGAGGCAAGAAAATGAAATACTTCCGACGACTATATATGTCACCTCACGCACGTTTCAAAATTTTTCAAATTTTATCAAATTTATTTAGGTCCAATACGAAATGGATAATATTGACCCATTCCTTTCGAACCTACTCCATAGAGGGTCAACAATTTGAATAATCATAAGAGAAATCAAAAATATTTAAATAATCGAACGTTGGCTGAGGGTATACAGGAAGAGATGAAAAAACGGTAACCAATTTCAGACTGCTGTCATTTCTAAGCCACTCGTCCGACAGCTGTTAAAATTATTCCAGTGACAGCTCATTATATTGTTTACAAGCGTACAAAAGCATTTTGGTGAGAATTTTCCAGAAAAAAAGTTATTCGTGATGGAACTCAAGCTTGATAGTGTGATTTCTTTATATTTGACTGGAAAACCACAAGTGGCTATCGTTAGACTACTCCAGCATTTAAATGTGAATAATTTTTTTTTTGTGTCTCGTGTCATCGCTCGTTACAGTGATACTGGTAGCGTAGCCCGACAACATCAGCAGAAATGGCTCGAAATGTAAAGAAGCGACTTGATCGAAACCCGCTTCGAAGTGGCCACAAAAATGGCTCGTGAGCTGAACATATCCTTCCGGCAAATATTGAAGAATGAGCTCGTGGTAAAGCCGTTAAAATTCCAAAAAGTGCAAGAACTTACACCGCAACAGAACGAAAATAGGCTCAAAAGAGCTAAAGAGTTGCTTCGCTTGGCCGAAAGTAGTGAACTGCCGTATTTGATTTTCTCCCATGAGAAAACATTCGTTGTCCAGCAGTTTGTAAACAAACAAAATAATCGAGTTTACTTGTCAAAGAGGTCAGCTGAAAATGTGCACCTTAGGTTGGCCACCAGAACTCAAGCGCCGGCCAAGGTTATGGTGTGGGCCTCCTTAACAGCCGATGGTCGCTCTCCGCTTGTATTAATCGACCATGGGATCAGAATACATGCCGAATATTATCGCGAAAAAATTCTGGAGAGTGTATTAAGGCCTTGGGCATGCAAACATTTTGGCTGCAGACCTTGGACATTTCAACAGGACTCAGCGCCATCGCATTCAGCATGCGCCACCCGAAAATGGTTACACAATAAGGTTCAAAATGGCCACTAAAATCTCCGGATACCCATCCGTTGGACTATTCTGTCTTGAGTATTTTGGAAAGCAAGGTTGACACTAAAAATGCCAAAGTGTCGATCACCTCAAGCAAGTGCTTCGCCAGGAATGGGCCAAAATACCACAGAGCAACATTCGGGCAGCATGCGACGGTTTCATTGGCCGTTTGAAGGCCACAGGTGACCAAATCGAACAAATCTAAACTTATTGTTAAATTTGAAGGTATTTCCGATATTTTTTGATTTGCTGTGTTGCCTTTTTTTATCTCACCCTGTTTAGAGTTCAAAGAGTTACAACGTCAGCAGATATTGAATTTAAATACTTATTCACATTAAAATTATGAAGAATTATGAAGTGCCACGGCTCACATATCTGCCATTGGAAATTTTCATCCAAATAAATCCACTCTTAAAAGCCCTCATTTATCACACCTTGCCTATTTTATAAAAGGCGACGACAAGTCCCTAATTTCTGTAAGTATTTCACAGATTTATGCATATTTGCATACGCTCGTATTTTCCAACAACCATCAGAACTAGAGGTAAAAAAAAAATAAACTAGAACACAATACCAACAACAACAACAATAAATTACAAAAACTAAACACCGAAAACACAGCTACAACATTTTTACGACAGTGTTTACGGCCACCTACAACCATAAAATAATGATTGGTTTTTAACACCTACGCTCGTGACTTAGTTGTCAGGGGGGGTGGTTGACGTAGGAGGGTGTGAAGGCATGGTTTGTGGTTAGTGTGGTCTTAGCTCAAGAATCGGGACACACGCTACTCGCAGAAGGCGAACGAAGAGGAAATTCCGTGTCTTCTTTGAAATTTGAACACAAATCTAGGTGAGCTAATCCCAATTGACGGCGACAAAAGTGCGACGACCTTCCTTCTCTAAAATTACAGGTAAAAAATGTAACAACAACAGATGGCTGCTGCTGCAAAAGAAAGGATTTAATAGAGCATTTAAGTGAATGGTCCTGGCCGTCGTCGTTTTTGCTGTTATGGCTGTTGTTGTCCTCGTCCACATTGCGGTCATCCTTGGCTTGAACCCAGGCAGGGAGGTGTGTCCGGTGATTTACACACAGCGCGTAACCGCACATGCGGTTTTATTGTTTCCCACAAAATCCGCTCAGCACACACATGCACACACACGAACAGAGATTGACTGACAACATCACCAAGCGAGAACACGGTAGTATGGCTTAGCAAGCAAAGCCATCAGTGCCAATACTAGATTGTACGAAGTCGTCAACATGTTGGACCTTCTTCAGCTCGTCATTGAGTGTGTTGAGAACCGACTTAAGCCGTGGCTGATTCATTTACGAAGGCAATCCATCACTGCATCAAATTCGCTTTATCGAATAGCAAGAACAACAAAAACAACATTAATGCTACCTTTAAAAATCTCAAGATTAGCGATTAGCCAAGTGATAATTTCGAAGATGTTCGAACGCATTCATATGAAGTAAAGGTGATTTGCAAAGTGGACTAAGTCCAAAATTAACAATTTAAGAATAAATAATAAATAAAAAAATTATGACTAATAAATAAATCGATAACAAATAAAACAGGTAAAAAAGCTGTATGTTCGGCCAGGCCGAAGCTTTGAATACCTTCCACAATTTGGAACGAATTTGACAATTTTCAAAAAAAAAAAAAAATAAAATCCGTTATAAATTTTTCTGAAATCTAAGAAATATAGAATGTAGCCGTTATATTAGGGTCTACACGACGATGTGGACCTCCATAGGAAGCTTTTGTCATAAGCCATTGCAATATTCAAATGCGAAATTTGAAAAAAATTCCGTGAATAATGAAGCTAAAATCATCAAAATTCCGAATATCGGTAGGTATCATTATATTGGGGCTATACGAAGATGTGGACCTGCACGAACAATTTTCTGTCATAGGCTGTAGTATCCATTACGAAATTGAAATACCAAATTTGAAGCAATTCCGGTGAATAATGTCGTTTAAGCCATCAAAATTCCAAATATCGGGAGGTACGGTTATATGGGGGTTATACGAAGACGTGTACATGCACAGGCAACTTTCTGTCTTAGGCTGTACCATCCAAGTACTAAAAGTTACGAAATATGGTAAAAT